AGAAATTAAACATCTAAGTAATTGGAGACATACTGTGATAGATTTTTCTGAAAATATTTGTTGAGCCCAAAGAGACTGAACTTTTGCTGGACCTCAGCAAAGTTAATAACATGCCTTGAGGTCATTTTTAAGACTATGTACTGGGCCTGCTATCTTACTGTTTGCTCAGCCTGTTGAAGTTTAGCCTGCTTTTAAGAGAACAACGAAACCAAACTTGCTGTGCCTTAGATGTTCCATGGAATCAGTTTTTACAACCTAAGCTAGATGTATATATAGCCTTAACCTTAAGTTATACAGTTTTCCATGCCCCAACCCAGGATAATGTACATGTGCATTGTGGTAATCATTCACAAAAAATAGCCAAAACATTGAAAACAACCTTAAACAAAACAAATATCCCATAAATATTGGAAGCAATATGTGATATAAGTTGATGACATATTTTTGCAATTTTGAGTGCTTATTCTGGAATTCCGAATCCTATGGAGTCAGTAAAGTAACCCCTTTCCTTGTAAGCTCTGCTAAGAGCTCTGTAGGGAACACCTTGATCCTTTCCCACACCACATTTTCTGTGCGCTTCAGTCAGTACAGAGCAAAGCCCTTTCTTTGAGTCAGACAAGACACAGGAAGAGAAGGGGACAATTCAAACTGGGCATCATTCTTGGTCAAACTAATCCAAAGGGAGGTTCCTTTATTATCATTTGTTAATGTGTCGTCAAAGCAACAAATAACCACATTAATGGATGGGAAGATACAACACAGCAAAGATTTTTAGTTCTTCCTAAACATTGATCTATAGTTTAATGAAATACCTGCTAGTATGTCAGTAGTGTAAGTAAATTTGTAGGAACTCTGTGAGTTTGGTCCCAGATTTAGGCACCAACCACATGAGTTGTGCAACTCTTGGAAGAGGTAGCTTGACCACTTGGGAGTCAGGAGATGGCTGGAGCTGTGATGAGACAGCAGCCCTGGAGGGTAGCCGCTTAGGACAACTCTGACGGCTGGAGGGCGAGGTATCCTGGATACCTTGAGCCACTTGGGGCAGCTCTGCCCTGGAGGGGAAGTTTTTCTGACTGCTGGGGAGAGTCAGGCCTGGAACTGCTTCAGCAGGGAAGGGTATCCTGACTGTTCAGGAGAGTCAGGCCTGGCGCTGCCAGGACAGCTCTACAGGGAAGGGTATCCTGACTCTTCAGGAATCAGGCTCTACCTAGTGTGACTGGGGATGGTCTCCCCGTACGATATAGCAATCCTGCTCCTCTCCTGGAGAGCCGCTACAGCTGAGCTTCTTAGCAGCGCTCGCTTCTCTGGCCTAAGATGTTGCTTCTTTTGCTTCACTCTGCAAAAGGGGAAACCCCTGCAGAAACGTAGCAATCTCCTCCAGCTCTGGAGAAAAGTGTTACTTTTTCAGCTCTTTCAGCTGTCCCTTGCTCTGTCCACTGAGGGATGTCTCAGCAAAAATCTTCAGTTCAGCTCCTCCTTGCTCTGGCCACTAAGAGATGTCTCAGCAAGGATCTTCTCTACACCAGTGAACGAAGATCTTCACACCCAACCAGGGAGGTTTATAAATAGGATGTCTTGGGGGCAGAATCAAGCAGTGATTGGTTAGATTTCTGCCCAGGGATTGGCCAGTTTTGAGGGCTAGGAACAGAGATGGCACTGATTTCAGAGCCAAACTGTGTTTCTTTCACTGGCCTTTCTTGGCTTTTTGACACTGCCTCTAAAGCCAGGGCACATTTCTTTCACTGACTCGGATTCTAGGGATCAGGAGTGTTTCTTTGGCACTAGTTTCAGAGTCAGGGCATGTTTCCTTGGTTCTGGGTTTGGGGATAAAGTGTTCATTTCTCTGGCTCAGATCCCAAACCCAGGCTGTGTTTATTTCCCTGGTCCTGGGCCCCAGGGCCAGGATTCTATTGTCCTTCTCTGTGAGTGGTTGGTTTCACAAGTCAGTTGGCCAGGGGCAGAGATGGCTCTAATTTGAGCCAAACTGTGCTTCTTTCACTGGCCTTACTTAGCTTTTTGACACTAATTCTAAAACCAGGGCACATTTCTTTCACTGACTCTGATTCTAGGGACCAAGAGTGTTTCTTTGATACTGGTTTCAGAGTCAGGGCATGTTTCCTTAGTTCATTTTTCTGGCTCAGGTCCCAAACCCAGGCTGTATTTCTTTGCCTGGTTCTGGGCTCCAGGGTCAGGGTGGGTTTTTTTAGCCAGCCCCTTTTCCCTACAAGTAGAGTTTTTTGTTTTTGCTTTACCAGCATTGACATGCTTGTGTCAAAATTATTACAGAAAGGACTATCACTGTTCTTTTTGAAAAGTAAGAACAAAGTGAGAAGAGTCACTACTCAGTATTAAGGTTTTCTATACTATACATGAACAGTAATAAAGGCTGAGGGACAGGCAGGCAGAGCAATGCAAAATAGGAACCCAGAAAGGGCATACAAATATGCTCCTATTGATTTCTAACAGAAACATAAAAAAGATTTCTATAAATTGCACTGGTGTAAGTGGACATCAATAAAAAAATCTCAACTTAGACATGCTTAGTAATACAAAAACCAACTCAAATCGATCATTGACTAAAAAAGAAAAAAAAATGACATGCTCATCTAGTTAAGGTTAAAAGTGTTTAGACTATGGAAGATCCTGAGGATAATGAAGCAAGCCACAGAGACAGAGGAAAGTATTTTACACTACACATTCAACAAAAGATCTATATTTAGAACATATATACAATCTCAAACTCAGAAAAAAAATGTCTAAACATTCTGGTACAATATGGCCAGAGGAATGCAGTCAGTTCCAGTGAAGATATAGACAGGAATAAGAACATGAAATAATTTCCATTATTATTGACAATTACAGAAAGAAAAATTAACCTAGACATTACTAAATGCCCATGATATTCCTAAAATTAAAATATACAAATCTGGAAGCTAGAATTCAGAACACCTATATTTATTGCATTGTTGGTGGGAATATAAAATGCTACAACCTTTTTTGGAATGTGGTTTCTTATAAAACCAAACACATTTAATCCCAAAGAAATCAAACTTTCATGTGCATATAAAAACCTATACTTGAATGTTCATAACAACTACATTTAAAACCGTCAAAACTGACAAGCACTCCAGTGTTTTCCAGTAGATGACCAATCTAGCACCTCTAGACCAAAAGGAATACAACAAAAATGAAAACATACTACAACACAATTGGAATGGCTTCAAAGAACTATGCCAAGGAGAAAGAACCGATCTTAAAAAAGTCACAAAATATATGACCCCGTTTATAAAGCTTTCTGACAGGATGCAATTCAGTGATAGAGAACAGATTAACAGGAGTTTGGGATTCGGGAAGTGGGTAGGAAAGAAAGTATCTGTGCTGAGGTTGGGATGATGGATCAGATTGTCCAAGTGTTTGCTGCTCTTCCAAAACACTGGAGTTTCATTTCCAGCACTCATGTCATGCTGATCACAACCACCTGTGACTGCAGGTCTAGGGAAATCACCATTCTTTTCTAGCTTCAAAGAATACCTAGATTCATGTGCATATACACATAATTTTTAAGTGCAAGTAAAGTAGTATAACACTTGCCTACCATGTGCAAGGTGCTAGTCAATTCCAAGCACCTCAAAAAACAAACCAAAACAAAACAAAAATAAAACAATCCTTGCAACAGAACTATTTAGAAATTTGACTATGGTAATTGTGAACAAATCTACAATGAATACATGTAAAACTGGTGATCTCTGTACATAACAGACAAATTCTATGAATGTTAGATTCCTAGATATACTATGACTGTACTATAGTTAGTCAAAATATTACCATCACTGGACACTGTAAAGGGTGGATAAGGTCTCTCTATATTCATAACAACTGCAATAAAATCTATAATTATCTTAGAATCAAAAGTTATTCTTTTTTAAGAAATAAAAAAATCATCTTTCTACTTTATTTCTGTGATTCCTAGAGTTCTATATTAGAATAAAATTCAAAGTTTATCAAGTCTGATACTAATAAAAAAGTAAACACTGACATAAATAGGGCCAAGGAAAAACTCATTCTTCAATAAGAATTACATGTGATAATCAATATAAAACCACTTTGGGAAATATAAAGTAGCTATTGAGTATCATGCAATAGTGGATGGAGGCACACTCCTCAGATGCACCTTACTATAGTGGTGATAATTCCAGAGCAAAAGTACGTTTGAAGAGTTCCAGTGAGTCTCCCCTGCAACACTGCTATGGTTTTAATATGCGTTGTCCAAAGTCCCATGTGTTAAAAGTGTGGTCCCCAATCTATGTTACCAGTGAGAATTGGCAATAATTTTACAAGGTGAGGCCTTGTGAGGCATTAGGTCACTGGGAGTAAGCACTTGAAGGTGAGTGTTTGGGCAATACAAAATCTTTTTATAAAAGTCTGTTTCCTAAGACTAACGGCTAGAATGACACTGTCTTAGTCAGCGTTCTATGGCTGTGAAGAGAACCACAACCACAGCAACTCTAAAAAGGAAAACATTTAAGTGGGGCTTGATTATAGTTTCAGAGGTTTAGTCCATTCTCAGCATGGCAGCACACAGGCAGACATGGTGCTAGAGAAGGATCAAGAGTTCTACATCCAGATCTGCAGGCAGCAGGAAGAGAGAAAGCCAATGGGTCCAGCTTGAGCTTCTGAAACTCTAAAGTTCACCCCAAGTGACACTCTTCCTCCAACAAGGCCACACCTCCTAATCCCTTTAAACAATGCCACTCCCTGGTGACCAAGCAGCATTTGAATCTATAAACCTGTAGGGATGATTCTTTTTTTTTTTTTAAGCTGAGGATCAAACCCAGGGCCTTGCACTTGCTAGGCAAGTGCTCTACCACTAAGCTAAATCCCCAACCCATGGGGACGATTCTTATTCAAACCACCACAGACATCAAATGTATTAGTAATATTCTGCTCTCAGAATGAGTTGTCTCACCTATAGATGCATCCCATATAAGGTTTTATCTCACCTGGCCAGTTCTTTAATTAAGTTGGCAATGCGTCTTTTGTCTTCAAGACATAAATCTTTCAATGATGCCCTCTTCATGCCTCCCTTGCAGACATTCTAGAATAAAACAGCTTCTGGTTAAATTTTTTTTTTTTTTTTTTTTTTTTACTAAAAACAATTTTTAAGCACTTTTTGAGAAATTTATCAAATTAAAAATGGAAAGTGAAATTTCTTAGAAATTATTTATCTGGTTGACTATCCCATTTTTCATTTAAACCTACTATGAATTCCAAACATGCTCGGGAACTGATAACAAACCAGACAACATCATGGAAATGCACAGAGATGAACTAAAAGATACGCCTGCTAAGCACTAGAGAACATTTCCCTTTCCCCTGGAGAATGCGTGGGTGACACTGGAAGACACTGAGATACCTGACGCTGTAGCCCAAGACCGTTGATATAAGATACAGGGAGGCTGCCGAGGAGCCACTAGTTGTTGAGCTTTAAAAACTCAGAATTCTGAAGGGCCAGATCTAAGAAGAACTGGAATTTATCTCTAGTGTTTATCACATGCCAAGAACATGATAAGTACTTTTTACCTGTTACTCCATCTCATGTTCACAGCAGTACAATTAGGCAGGCCTTGTTTCAGCTCTTCATTAAGAGTACACAGATTGGCCAGGGTTATAGCAGCTACATAATAGAATGGGGTGCAAAGACAGATTCCAGGCTGTGCTCTTAAACACTATGCCATTCTGTTTTTGTAGTACAATTGTTCTCTCCAGTACTGTAACAACTTCAGAGGGATCTTTAAAGCCATGAAATTCAAGGAGTCACAAGAGAACCCTAGTTAACACAGAATTCTAGATGCTGTATATAGTATATATACTATAGCTATATAGTATATACTTGTTAGTCACCATGTGGATGCTGAGATTTGAAACTGGATCCTCTGAAAGAACAGCCAGTGCTCTGAAATGCTGACCCATCTCTCCAGTTATGTCTCTCAGTTAAAATGATTGAATAAGTGATGACAGGTTAAAGAAAATTTTAAAATTACTATATACAGCATCAAGAATTCTCATGAATATACTGAAGAGCAAAACACTTAATCCTATAGTACATATTGTATGAGTGTTTATATAAAGTTCCAAACATATAAAACTAAACATTGCTTAAAAATAAAAATACATTGCTTGAAGTAAGACAAGGTTTTGAAAACTACACCTGAAAGCCCAAGTTAGTTTACTGTATATGTTTATAAATGAAAATTTATTAAAAGAAAACAACAACAACAAAAACCCACCAAGTCAATCACTTAGAGATTCCCTAAGATTCTTTTCACAGCACAGGGGTAAAGCTGTGTAACTGAGATGGACTCTTTTGGTCTGTAAGCCAGAGAGCAAGCCAGCGAGCAGCATTCCTGCAGAGATTCTGCTTGAAGTTCCTGCTTAAGTTCCTCTTCTGTCTTCCTTCTTGGACTATGATCTGGAAGTGTGTGCTAAATAAACCATTTCCTCCCCAAGTTGCTTTTGGTCAGAGTGTTTTATTACAGCTACAGAATAAGAATGGAAACTGTATAAATGAAACGATATGACAGCTCAAAGAAGTGTACTTAGCTAATGGCTTTCATTTATGCCCTTTCTGGCTGCACTACAGGGCTCATACCAGCATCAACTAGTAACAGCAGAAACACTGCAACTCGCAATGTCTATTCCTAATGCCATCCAAAAAAGACACATTGTTCTGGGGGTCACTATCAAATCCTGTTCTCTACTAGACAACCATCAGTAATGATACCAAAAATATCTCCAGACTACACATTAGGAATTGTGAAACATTTTCTCTAACTAGTCTGAAAGTAAAAACATGGGGTATTTGGGGCTTTGTGGGGTGACAGTCACTATAGCAACTCTGTGACTCTATAAAAATCATTCACAGACAATACCTTAAAAAACAAGCATACCTGGGAAAAAGAAGAAAAGCATTTACCAAACAAGCTGTTGTGTAGCTGCTTCCTCCAAAATGAAGCCCTATTTTTATGGGATGTAAGATGTCCAAGACTCAGGGCGCTACAGAAATTTCTAAGGCTCAGAAAGGGCCACTCAGAAAATTACATCACTCCCCCAAAATTCTAAAAGCAGGACACAGTTTCTGAGGACAGGGTTGCTGCCTGCAAGTTGAGTAGGGACCTCCAGGGTATAGTGGGGGTAGATTTTGGTGATGTAACTGCCTCGGAGTCACCCATGTTCACGTAAGTATTCCAGTAAACTCACTGATTCACCCAGCTAGATTGGGGCAAAATAGTTTTAGTCTGTTGTCAGTATCTTGTCTGGGTTGAATAGCAGATTGATTAGTTCTTCCCAGAAAAAGTTACACAACATAAGCAGAAGGAAGATTCTGCCCATGAACCATAGATTACAAACACTGTCAACTTTGATTGAGGAAAGAAATTCACCAATAGTTATAGCATTACAATAAAGTGAATTTTATTTGAAATATAGTGGTTAAAACAAGCAGATAGAAAAAGACTTAAGAATGTGTAGGTTTATAAAGACAAAGAGAAAGGTAAAACTAGCCACTGGCCTATAAAAAGCAAGAACTGTTGGCAGGGGAGGTAGTTCAGTAGACAGAGTGTGCTAGCTAGCACTGTAAAAGGTAGGATCCCCAGAGTCACATAAAAGCCAGGCAGGCAATGATGGCCACCTCCAATCCCAGCAGTTAGGAAGCAAAGACAGAAGATCCCCTAAGAAAACTGGCTAGCTAGACTAGCCAGATTTGGCCATCTCTGGATTCAACACAATACCCTGCCCCAATGAATAAAATAGAGAGGAAATGAGGAGGAAACTTGATGTCAAGTTTAGGCCTCCATATACACCAATATGCATACATGGACAGGCATAACACATACATATGCAAAACAGATAACAAAAATAAACAATATATAAAGAAAGAAAAGCAAGAGTTTTGCTGCAGTCCCAAAGGCAAGGAAATCATGCACTCAAGGCTCAAGACTCAGTTACATAGCAAATTCAAGGTCTACCTGATATATACAAGACACTGGCTCAAAAAAAAAGTTTTGTTTTGTTTTTCTAAAATACAGAACAAAACAAACTCTAAAATAATAATATTATTTTCTAAGTGAAAGTCATAATAGTGCAGGCTGATTTTCCTTACATAAGCTCATATTAATATAAAAGTATCAGCCATCAACTAATAAAGTTTGAAACATAAAAACATAAAGGATACCTAACCACAGAAATAGTGAAGTTGACTTACTAATAAATGCTAGAAAAAGGCAACATGTAAAATTTAAATCTTTTGAGACACAGTAAGATAATACATTTCCTTAGCTAAGGCTTAGAGCACATCTCTACATTTTGGAACAAACTCTCAAGAAGTCCAGGTATTTTATTCTGCTACTTAGCATTATCAAGAGTAACAAAAGTTTTTGAGTTTTCTCTCTGGGTTCCGCCAAGCCCTGACAGTCCCTTGGCCCACTTATAAAATAAACATACAGACACTTATATTATTTAAACTGCTTGGCCATTAGCTCAGGCCTATCATTGTCTAGCTCTTACTCTTATATTTAGCCCATTTCTATTAATCTATACTTTGCCATGTGGCTGATGGCATATTGGTACCTTACATCTTCCTTGTCCTGGCGGTGGCTCCAGCAGTCTCTCCCTCTGCCTTCCTGTTCCCTCAATTCTCCTCTCTGTTAGTCCCGCCTATGCTTCCTGTCTGGCTACTGGCCAATCAGTGTTTATTTATACAGAGCGATATCCACAGCATTTGTGTCTTCTACAGACACAAACAGACCATCTTTTAAAAGTCTATGTCTTTATGGAGCAGCATCTATAAAAACTAACAAGCTGGGGAGACAGCTCAGTCAGTAAAGTGCCTGTCACTCAAGCATGAGAACCTGAGTTCAAATGAGGACACAGTAGCACTTGCCTGTAACTTTACAGGTAGAGGAGGTTATAAAGGACAAAGACAGGTGGATCCTTAGAGTCTGACCAGGGCAAGCTCTGCTGGGTTCAATAAGAGATCTATGTTACAAACAAAAGATGCTCCCCCATCCCACCCCCCCAAAAAACCAACGAAGTAGAGTGATAGAGGAGTAGAGGATGAGGAGATACCTAACTTCTGGCTTCCACACATGCACACATGTATGCACATGTACATACCCATCACTACCCCACCCCACCCCTTGCACGTACACACACACACACACACACACACAGACAAAGTATATACCCCCCCCAAAAACCAAAGAAATAAGAAAAAGATTACTGACCTGTTCAGCTGCTGAATCTCCTGCACCTTTTAAAGACCCCGTGGAGATGGAAGCATCAGTCACCCCGGAAGTCTTAACTTTAACATCAACTTTTGGATTTATCAACTTGAGTCTTGATCTTGTACCTCCTTCTGAGGAAAGTCCTAAGAATGTTCATTAAATAAGACTTCAGAATTTAATCTTCTTACTTGATTCAGCTTCCCCACACTCCTCATTAACTATCTCTTGTTAACCTGTACTTTATGAAATCTGATGAGAAAAAAATTTATAAATTTCAATTTAAAACCTGTGCGCATGCGCACTGGTGTGCATACAATCACAAAAATGTTATTTATAGAAAATTCAATAATTCAGTTATGTGATATGAAGATTTGTAAGTCACATTAAAAGCAATAAATTACAACATACTGAGATAACATCAAACATGGAAGAATTAGAGTATTTTCACCCTGAGTACCTTCAAATGATTCTGCTTGACTACTCACACAATTGAACAATCAGGAAGAATAAAGACATTTGTATTTAACCTGGATTAACTTTTCATATTTTCTTTTGAGATATAAGATGTAAATTTTCAAAAAGAATCTCTTCTCTTTAATAAATGAAGCACTTTATAAACCATAAATGCTGACTCGCCCAAACAGGCCCTAAGAAGAGCCAATGTTTCAAATCTTAAGAGGATGTAGTCTAATATTCAAAAACACTTGCCTTTTAAATTTGTTTATTTTTAATAACATTCAAATGATTGTTACATATCTAATTGCATATACAAGGTTGTCTCAATGTTTAATTTCCTCCTAGCACTTAAGAAACAAGGGAAGTTTCAAGAACTTTAGCATAGATGTCATACCTGGAACATAAACTACTGATTGTTCTTCATCAGAAACTGTGGAGGAGAACATCAAGGAAAATAATCATAAAACATCATGAGATATCTATGTGTATCTGTAATAAATCTTCATCTCTTTTGACCTGAGAATTTATAACTTACTTAAAAAGAAAACTAGAAAAATAATGAACATTTTACAAAAGTTCAACTTTAGATAGTCATAACCTTATGTTTAGAGAAAATGTTGGAAGCCATGGTCCATGAATCTTCCTTCACACTTGTTCCCAAATAGGATACTTTAGTGATACACATTCTATTATGTTGCTTTCCTTTTTCAACAAAAGGAGTTAAGCACCAGGGAGAAGCTGACAGTTATTTTAGTCAAAAAGAATAAATAATTCCAAGATAGGCATTAGCTTTGAAGAACAAACAATGTTTTAGGGCAAGTCAATCATTCAAACACAAATGCAATATTTATTCTTCGGTAATACATTCATGAAATGTCCCAAGAAGCCCTACTATAGAAGATGTGGGAAAATTTTAAGACAAAAAAGAACAATTTTGAACTTCAAAAGGAGAAATTCAGAAAATATATTTTTTCCTGTAGCAATATATGTAAATATATATATATATATATATATATATATACACACACACACATAAAGCTCTCTTCTGCTTTCTTATGATAGTTTTTTCTGTAGCAAATATATACATGTAAATATATTTAGCTCAGTCTCAAATATATGTATATATAATATATACATTTGCTACAAATATGAGTTTTTTTATATACATAGATATGTATGCATATATATGTACTGTATATATGTATATGCACACACACACACACATATACATATACATACATTTACTACAGAAAAAGAAACATCACAAGAAAGTTTTCTTCCTAGAGGATCCTATTAAATCTGTCTAAATCCAGATATATCTACAATTTGGTAACATCCCAGGCAAGAAGCACATAAACAATTTTCTGTACAAATGATATGGAAAATTCCAAAATTTTCAGTTCAAAAAATGTTTTCAAAGATTTCTAGATACCACAATTATTAACCACAGCCATGAGGAAAATGTAGCAGGTTCAATAACATATCTATAAAGTCAATAAGAAGGTTAGTTCCAAAGTCAGGATCACAAAGAAAGCCCCAATTAAGCTCTGTGGGCTACTAAAAGAACCCAACGTACTAAACAGGAAAAACAGTTTTTATAGGGAAGAGGAGTTGGGGGCAGGGGAATCGAGAAGAAAATGGGAGAAGCACCAAACTACACACTGTATATGTATGAAATTGTAATTTAGTAATAAAGTAAATACATAAATATTTTATCTCAGTAGAATCCTTGGGATGGAATCTTTTTCCAAGGAATACTAATTAGAATTGCCTAGCAATATGTTGGACTTGGTGATGCAAGGCCACAACTCCAACTACTGGGGCATCTGAGGCAGGAAGAGTTCAAGACCCGCCTGGACTACAGAATGAGTTTAAGGCCAGTCTTGACTTCAGACACTGTCTCCAAGGAGGAGAGGGTGGAGATGTGAGCTGGGCAAGGGTTGGGGCTGAAGAAGGATTCCCTGGCATGAGCAAGGCCCTACGTTCTATCACCCACAGTAACAGAAAAGCAGGAACTCTCAGATGACACCCACTGCCTGAGCTCCTGGGTGGTTTCTCACAGCCTTCTGCAGCACATGTGTGATCTACCACAACTTTAAGATTTGGGTTGATAGGCTAGAATGATGGTACAGACCTATAATCCCAGTACTTAGGGGAAAAAGGCAGAAGATTAAGAGATCAAAGACAGCCTCCACTGCACGAAACCCTACCTCAAATAAAGAAATAAATACCTACAAAAAGATGTTGACTGATAATAAGCATTCTTAGGTTTTCTATTTCCTCAAACACTGCGGATAAGGTTTGACAGTTTTGGAGAACAGAAATTACTGTTTCAAAGAAGCCAACTCTGAATTCACCAATAACAAATCTCTAAATAGCTGTATGAAATAGAATGGTATGTTCTCCTGGGCAACAGAAACCATTCTTCTACTTTATATCCTCTAAGACAAACACAGAGCTTTTATACACAGTGGACACTCGATAAATGTGTGATGTTTGAAATATACTTGAAAAAAAAAACAGGAAAAAAATCAAGACAATGGTACAAAACATGCTCTATAGAACAGTGCTTTTAATTACAAGATAGACATAGGGTGTTCTCCAAGGATGTCCTGGAAACCATGTTATATTTTCTAGATCATTCACAAAAAGTCTGCTCACAACTAGAAGAGAAAAACCTGAGTAGAGAATACGGACCCTACTTAGCTTCATAAGCTGAAACAAACATTTCTCCATTTCTCCTCCTACTTCAATCCTGACACACTTCCAACATTCTTACTCTCAGCTAATAATGTTTCCGATTTCCTTAAGAAAAAAAAACTGTAAAGACCTTCCCCATTTCCCTTCTTGCTACAAAAGTGTTCATGCCCTGATCTAAAGGCAATGGAGCCCTTACACACACACACACACACACACACACACACACAATTACCTTTTTTCCTTTTCTCCCAAGGATATTGCTGCTGATATTTTCGATCCTCTTTCTGTTTAAGCAACCATTTTTTTCTTTTTTTTTCTATTAAGTGTTCCTATTAGCATTTTAAGATTGTTGTGGAATATTCCTTTACACTGTGTGAAGATATGTCACTGGGATTGATTTTATAAAATGCTAAACAGCCAATAGATAGGCAGGATTTTCAGGGCAAAGAGAATGCTGGTAAGAAGAAGGTGGAATTACCAGCCAGGCACAGAGAAAGCAAGAAAGCAGCGTGGGCAGCACAGAGTAAAGGTAATAAAGCCACAAGGCAGAAAGTAAATTAAAAGAAATGGGTTCATTTAAGTTATAAGAGCTTATTAGAAACAAGCCTAAGCTATTGGCCAAGCTTTCATAATTAATAAGAAGTCTCCATGTGGTTATTTGGGAGCTGGCTGGTAGGACAGAAAAATCCACTGACAAATGTTGTATTACTTTTTCACTTTTTTCAAAAAAGGAAAATAAATTCCTTAATCCTACATCCCCTCCAACTACTGCACTACTTTCCCCTTTACAGTTAAACTTCTTATAAGAGACATTCCATTGTCTCCAATTCCTCTCATCCTAATTAGTCATGAACATATCCAATCAAGCTTTCATTCTATCAATCAAATAAAGCTAGTTCTAATGCCTCATATTGGTAAACTTATAAATTAATTCATTCGCTTCTTTGGATTTGATCTGTCAATAGCATTTGATATAAATGACCACTCATTAAAATTTCATTGTGAGATACCACACTCACAAATTTCCTCTGACTTTTATAACAATTCCTGCCCCTTCCTCTTCAACTCCTCCTATCCTGGCCATTCCTTGTCACTTTGGAGTGTCCTAGGGCCTCTGAGTTAGAGATTTTATTCTTTCCTTATTCTACTGGTGATCTGATTCAATTCTCCTGTATTTAAGTACTATCAGTGAGTTGATTTCTGCCAAATTAATCTTTAGCTCAAGCATATCTGCTAAATTTAACACTGACAGACACATAACAGTTACCTCAGATTCAGTAAGTCCACTAGTGAAGTCCTTACTTGAATCTCAAAGACCACCCCTCACATAGCCCTTCTCATACTCCTAGCTGCCCAAAACAAAACACGGAGTTATTCTTGACTTTTATTTTCTATCCCACATTCAGAAAATACCTACAGCCCAACAACTTCTGACTAACAATGGCATATAAATGCAAATCACCTTTTCTCTCACCAGGATTACTGCCATTGCCTCCTAACTGTCCTCTCTTGTTTCCATACAGAACTTGTCAACATTCTACTTTTTTTTTTTTTTTTTTTTTGGTTTTTCGAGACAGGGTTTCTCTGTATAGCTTTGTGCCTTTCCTGGGACTCACTTGGTAGCCCAGGCTGGCCTTGAACTCACAGAGATCTGCCTGGCTCTGCCTCCCGAGTGCTGGGATTAAAGGCGTGCGCCATCACCACCCGGCAACATTCTACTTTTTAAACAGAGGTCAGGCCCAGCCTCTAGGCTTTAGGCCCAGGGGTACAACCAGTGCCCCCATACCCCACCCATTGCAGCCCCAGTTGCAGGCCAGCAGGCAGGACTCCTGCAGTCAGGACTGAAGACCACCATCCCCCACTGGACCCTGTAACCTACAAGCTCCAATCCACCCCCCAAACCCACTCATCCTCCGAAACCACAGCTGATCCCTGACACAGACTCTGCCAACTACGATTGGACCAAGATCTCCAATTGGACCAAGGGTGGCTCCCTGAGACACAGACACCATTTGCACTAATTGGAGGGTAGACTCCAGTGCAAGAATACATTCAACAACATAAAGAGCAATATGGTATCACAAGAACCTAGTTGTCCTACATTAGCAAGACCTGAACATCCCATCATAGAAGAATCAGAAGAAAACAGCCTTAAAAATAATTTTAGGAAGATGATGGAGGACTTTAAAGAGGAAATGAAAAATTCCCTTAAAGAAATTGAGGAAAAGACAAACAAAAAATTGGAAGAAATAAGTAAGTCCTTTAAAGAAAGCCCAGAAACCAAGAAAAAGCAATTAAATATGTGAAAGAAACAGTTCAAGACCTGAAAACTGAAACAGAAGAAATGAAGAAGACACAAACCGAGAGAATGCTGGAAATAGAAAAATCTGAGTAAATTAACAGCAACTACAGATGCAAGTATAACCAACAGAATACAAGAGATGGAAGAGAGAATCTCCAGCATGGAAAATACAATAGAGGAAATAGATTCGTCAGTCAAAGAAAATACTAAAGCCAAAAAAGTAGTAACACAAAATGTCCAGGAAATCTGGGACACCATGCAAAAAGCAAACCTAAGAATAATAGGAGTAGAAGGAGAATACCAACTCAAAGGCACAAAAAATATCTTCAACTAAATCATAGGAGAAAACTTTCCCAACCTAAAGAAGGAAATGCCTATGAAGATACAGAAGGTTACAGAACACCAAATAGACTGGACCCGAAAAAGAA